ATCAGGTGGTAACGCTGTATAGGCTCTGTGTCCACATATGAAATACCAGTTAGTTAACACATGAGAGCCTTTGTCACCTGGTACTGCAATGCTGCAGTGGGTGGTCTTCTGGCATCCTCTCATTGGTAGGCTGATGTTGAAGGTCCGTTGGTGGAGGAGGTCTGTGCAGTTGGTGACATTGTCTGATTCAATGCAATTCTGTCCGGGGATCCCCTGAATACTGACATAATAACCTGCTTTGCAGAAAACACAATTCAGGTAATTACGTTTACCTTTGTGTGACTGGTCAATATCACAGAAGGTATACACCTTTTTGCATAGATTCCAGGTCACCAAGCCTATAGGAGTGGTGCCACTGTTGAAAACATAGTGTCCCAGGGCGCCTGTTGGCAAATATGTCCATGTGATCAGTTCAGGCAGTTTAATGGACATCTGGGGTAGGGGCATGACATCAGTGAAGCTACAATTTGACGTGAAGTTGTATCCCATAGTTACCATGGCTAGTCGTCTGTGTAAGTCTGTGTGCATACCCTTCACCCCACTGGACAGTGGCGTTGTATAGTTTCGTTTTGCCCAGCTGCCTGTTCCTGGGTGGGTGCTCAGGCCATACAGACATGCTTGTTGAGCTGTAGACACAGCTGCAGGTCGCAAACCTGAATTGTGGGTGGCATAGGGCAGATGAGCACATACATAGCAATTAGTAGTCTTTCCTTCATAAGCGGTTTTGTTCATCAGCTACCACCATAGGTTGTTGCTGTAGTCATGAGGGTGTTCTAGATCAGGTTTCAGCAAATCAGTGAGGTCACCTCTGACTATGTGACATGCTATAGCCACAATACAACAGAGAGTCCACCTTACTTGTGATGTTCTCATTGTTGCTAGGTGTACAGAAATTTTAGGAGCTCTGATGTGCCTATTCGGGGCATAGGGCTGGGCCAGATTGCTGCACAAAGTGTTGGTTTCTTCACTGATGTTGAGACGACACACCCTAAATGGTGAGCTCCCTTTGTGGTCAGACTTTTTCAAACACCCTGGTCGATTAAGAGTCTAACACTTTCTGCAACTTTCAATGGCTAAAGATGAATCCAACTGGGTCTTTCCGCTATCTTTACATCAGTTGTTGTGGTCAGTAGGACTTGGTATGGTCCCTCCCAACGTGGACTGGCCCACATTTTCCTTTTGATGACCTTAATACCCAATCTCCTGACTGGATTGGTGATGTTTCCTGTGGAAGAGAGGAATCAGAAGACAGTGAATTTGTCTTTGACACTTCTTTCTCTTTCAGTGTTTTGATCATGTAATCTCCTAATGTTTGCTCTTCTTCTGCCCTTTCTAGGTCAGGTGAGAACAAAGGCATTCTATATGGTCTGCCATGGATGATTTCAAAAGGGGTCAGACCATTTGGAGTTGGAGTAATCCTCATGTAAAGTTTTTTAAGTAGGCCTCTAATCCATACGTGGTGAAATGTTTCTGAATTAGAGTGATCATACCACCTGTTGACACATGGTAACTGCCATGGGTTACTACAGCTGTTGCTTTAAATAAAGATTTAGGCAGTACAGGTTTAGCATCGACATGATAAATTAATTCATCATTTAGTCTAGCTGAGCGAGGGGTGTGACATGTGTTACTGGTCTGCCAGTAGAGGTCAGCAGTGTACTGGCTGTCTGTGTACACTTCTGCCAACTGACATGTATGTATATGTGCTATAATTTCAGTTGCTTGTACAGCTTTATAGATTTTTTTATTTTTATTTTTTAAATGAAAATGCTTCTGTATGTTATATACACCTCCCTCCTGTTGACACATGGCAAAACACCATGGGTCATTTTTTGGTTTAATCTGAGCATGAGGTATTGAGGTTAAATGTCATATATTTGAGCAACATAACTGGGTATTGGAGAGGGCTAAATGTTTTTATTTCTTTTTTAATTACCATAACAGTAAATAGCCATAACATTTAAAAAACAAAATCCATTTTGGTTGTTGAAAAATGTGATAATAGTTACAATTGATTCATAAAGAAAGAAAAACTATTAATGATACTTAAGCTGGCCTTGGGACCAAGGATGTTCATCTGTATAAAAGCTTTTCTTTAGAGTCGATTTTTAGGCTATTCGTTTTTTATGTTTATATCCATTTTGTGACTTGTTAATAAACAAGAACTCATATTTTCCTTTCGTTACGTTTTTAAAACTATCATGTCAAACTGATTTGCTTACAAAAGCAGTAAAACTTAATTTTAAAAAGTTGGGTTTTTGGGGGGGTTCGGCCCTCTAATTACAGTTAATCCGTTGGGTCTGGGTATGGCTCGGAAAAAAAGCTATGGGCTCGGTCCGGGCCAGGCTGGATATGTTAGGCCCGAATGTAACTCTACTGCAGGGTAGACTGCAGAAATGAACCGTGTTGGAATAGAACTGAGTTGGACTGGAACGAGAGCTGTTGTTCTGCAGAGCTAGTAAGTAAAATGTAGTAGCTACATATATGTATTGTTAAAATTAGTAGGTTTAAGGGTTTAGAACATTGCAAGAGTGTGGGAAGGGTTTTCAAAGCCTTAATATTTACTGTATATAAATACAAAAATAAACTACTACTTACTATGAGGGCAGCTGTGGCTGAGTGGTTAGAGCAGTCGTCCTCCAATGCAAGAGTTGGGGGTTCGAACCCCACAGCAGTCACATGCCGAAGTGTTCCTGGGCAAGACACTGAACCTCTCATTGCCTCCGATGTGTGTCCCATCGGTGTATGAATGTGATAAATCACTGATTAGTCTCTTTAGAATGATTTGTTCAATTAGCTTTGTCGAGATCTAGTAGAGTGTTGTATGAATGGGTAAATAAAGACACAGATTGTAGTGTAAAGTGCTTTGAGTATCTCAGTAAGATAGAAAGGCGCTATACAAGTACAGTCCATTTACTACTACTTACTACAGTAAATGCAAAAATAAACTACTTACTGCTACTACAGTAAATACTAAAATAAAATACTACTACTACTACTACTACTACTACTACTACTACTACTACTACTACTACTACTTGTGTACATAATTTCATTCCAATCACGTACCACATGAGATGGTAATGACAATAAAGTTTACTTGAACTCGAATTTGTACTACTTTCCCTACTTGGCGGTTTTTCCACTTATCTCGCGCGCGGGGGGCATGATAACTAACACCTGTAAGGTTTCTAGCAACACCCAAATAAATATTGACCAAAAGCAAACAGACTTCAAGACCAGGGAACGATGATATTGGTGAGGTAACTATCTAGGAAGAGGCTGGAACCCTGGAGAGCAAGGAGCAAAGTTAAAGCAGGCAAGGATAAATCTCAAGGGCAGTAAAATGTCCAGAAGAGTAGTTCTTACTGTAGAAAAGGGAGGTCAGTCAGTGAATGTCCAAAAGGTTTCCAGGAGATCCTGTGTATGTGAGCAGGTGGTGGAAGGCAAGGAGCAGCTTGAGATGAGTCCAGGAAGGGTCGAGAGTAATTACCATGAGATCCAAGGACGCAGGTGGAACACAGAAGTCAGAGCTGTAGCATGAGCACAAAGATTAATACTTTTAAAGCACAAAGAGCAAATGTTCAGGCCAGGAGCTTACTACCAGAGGCAGACAATGCAGCAGCGTAGAATGAAGTCCTCAGCTGGTATTTATACTTCTGCTGCTCATTATTCCCCAATGGATCTCAGGTGTGTTTCTGTTGGTGCCCTCTGGTGGAGAAGAGATGTGGAGAAAAAGGCTTGAAATCCCACAACACCCATGATAAACGAGGGACTACTACATACATTTTTATTATTTGCCATTGCTATGTAAACCTTTTTGTTACAGTTAAAGCCAGAGCTTAATTTTGTAAACGGATTGGGATGGGATGAGAATCTGCACCTCCAAATCTTTGGCCATAGTCCTGAACCAGAATAGGTTGAATTGCTTTCTTGAGGTTGATAGTGAGCTTTTGCCTCAAGAGGACGAGTTCAAGTAAATTGGGGTTTTATTCACGAGTGAGGGAAGGATGGAACATGAGATTGATGGACTGATTGGTGCAGCGTCTTCAGTATTGTGGACTCTGTACCGGTTCATTTTGGTGAAGAGGGAGCTGAGCTGTAAAGCAGAGCTCTCTGTTTACTGGTCAGTCTATGTTCCTACCCTCAACTATGCTCACGAGCTCTGGGTAGTGACCGAAAGAATGAGATTGTGGATACACGCAGTTGAAATTAGTTTCCTCCTCAGGGTAGCTGGACTCTCCCTTAGAGATAGGGTGAGAAGTTCAGTTATCTGGGAAAGACTCGGAGTAGAACCGCTGCTCTTCCACATTGAGAGGAGCCATTTGAGGTGGTTCGGACATCTGGTAAGGATGCCCCCTAGATGCCTTCCTAGGGAGGTGCTTCGGGCAACTGGGAGGAGACCTCAGGGAAGGCCCAGGACACGCTGGAGAGACTATGTCACTTGGTTGGCCTGGGAACGCCTTGGGGTCCCCCCAGAAAAGCTAGAAGATATAGCTGTGGAAAGACATGTCTGGGCCTCCTTGCTCAAGCTGCTGCCCCCACAGCCCAACTTCGGAACAAGCAAAAGAGGATGGATGGATGGATGGATGGCTGGCTGGCTGGCTGGCTGGTTGGCTGGTTTTGTTGATTAAACCCCTAAAAGCTGTTTCCAGAACAGTTTCAGCTCATGCTTTCACACAATTATTTTTTATTTCTCTTCTTTCTGTCCATTTTGATCAAACAAGGATTAAAATATCAGTAAAAATAAAGACCTCAGATTTTAGTTTTGTTGTTGTTTTCAAAGTTTTTGCCTACAGAAAACATTCTGCTCGTTTTGTTTGATGTCTCCATGGAAACGAGCCCAACTGTGATTGGGTCATTGGTTTTAGGCGGGAGGTTGGAGAGGCTCTGTTTTCCATGGATTAGCTAGAGACTCAGGGATTACACAGATTACAGCTCTGATTATCACCGCCGTTACAAAGAAAATAGATTTTTAGGACTGTGTTTTTCTGTTCCAGGGAGCGGTCAGTGAACGTGTCAGAGCCGGAGACACTGGAGTTGACCGTGTCCAACCTGAAGCCCGAGGAGATGTATGGCTTCAGGGTGGTGGCATACAATGACATGGGGCCTGGAGAGAGCTCCACCCTCCTGAAGATCTCCACCAAACCTGACCGTGAGTCCTCCAGTTTTTACCACTATATCTGAATGCTTTGGTTCTGATCACTGAGCATCAAGTCACTGGCCCGGCTGGTTTTGACTAGGGATGGGGCCGATCCGATCCAGTATCGGTATCGGCCTCCAATACCAGCATAATTTACGTATCAGATTTTTCCGATTCACCTGCCAATATTTCCGATCCATGATGCAAATTGGCTCAAACTATGGAATGGATTTCCTGAACTGCGGCGTGTCTCATGAACCCAGAGTAATAAACCCGCCTCACATTCAGGAAATCCATTTCATAGTTTGTAGGGATGCACCGATCCACTTTTTTTACTTCCAATCCGATCCCGATACCTAAATCTGAATATCGGCCGATACCGATCCAATTCCGATATCATCATCATCGATTTTATATGAGGCTGTAATAATCTCCTCTCAAGTACAATTTGTACAAATATATGCATGCATGTCCAAAAAGGCAACTTGAGGTAAGTTCTATTAACGTTGGATAAGTTTTAAAGTTAGAATTAAAATCTGCTAACACAAAACGTTTCTTTTTATTCCTAGTTTTAAAGTGGATATTAAAGTGATTAATTTAAGTGCTTGTTTAAAGTTATTTTATATTTTTTTTAAATAAGGGGCAGATATAAGATTTTTTTTTTCTTCTTTCTGCATGCTTTTCATTCAATATTTTCTTTTTGATGATTTTTAAAATTTTGTTTCTTTTAAATGAATGAATAAATGAATTAAATAAAATAAAATGTTAAATGGCTTCAAACACCTGCTAAGTTCATGGCATAAACCAACAGACATGTTCCTGATTTTAGTATTTTACATCACTTTATAATGTCTTTTGTTTTTAATATAATTTTCAAATCATGTTTTTTTATGATTGTCTACTGTTGTACTGATAAATATCTCATGGAGGGTAAACTATATCTTGGATGCAAATATCAAACTGTGAAATCCTTTGTTTTCTACAACTGATAGGGGTTGGTCATTAATTATGAAGTTTTGCAACTTCTCTGTAAACATTTGAGCTCCGTGGTTTCAGCGATGTCTTCTTGTTCAATCCAAAGCAGGCAGCCTGATTTGGGGCAGCCGCGCACAGTCTGTCCCTCCTCAGAGATGGGCAGACTGAGCGGGGCAGATTGGACACGGCTGGCCGAGGTCGAGTCGCCTCTTTTGGATTCAGCGAGAGTAGCGCCCTGCTGAAGCCACAGAACTCGAATGTCCAACGTAAAACTAACTTTACCGCGGTTTAATGTGGCGCTATGGCTCTGCAGACATTGCATGTTGCTGTCTTGCCTTGTGGTGTTTTTAATATAAAATATTTCCACATAGCGGACATGTTTCGATGAAAAGTTGATTAGCCGTGTGCTATTGTGCTATTGCTATATTGTGCTATATATGCACAGTGCTATTGCATGTTGTAGCTGGCTGCAAACTATGAACTGGATTTCCTGAATGTGAGGCGGGTCTTATTGCTCTGGATTCATGAGACACGCCGCCGTTCATGAAATCCATTCCATAGTTTGAAGCCAACTTGCATCATGGATCGGAAATATCGGCACGTGGATCGGAACAATCCGATAGGTAAATTATGCTGGTATCGGAGGCCGATACCGATACTGGATCAGATCGGCCCCCTCCCTAATATTTTACAGCCAGCTACAATGTGAGGACTGAGTTAGCAGCACTGTGGCTAACAGCTAACAAACTTTTCATCTAAACATGTCGCTGTGTGGAAGTATTTTACACTAAACACCACAAAACAAGACAGCAACGTGCAATGTCTGCAGAGCCATAGCGCCACATTAAACCGTGGTAAAGTTAGTTTTACGATGGACATTCGAGCTCCGTGGCTTCAGCGCAGCGCTGCTATTTGCTCAACCCACAACAGGCGACTCGACCTCGGCCAGCCGCGTCCAATCTGCCCCGCTGAATCTGCCCGTCTCCGAGTAGGGACAGACTGAGCGCGGCTGCCCCAAATCAGGCTGCTTGCTTCGGATTGAACAAGAAGTAGACGTCGCTGAAACCACGGAGCTCAAATGTTTACAGAGAAGTTGCTAAACTTCATCATAATTAATGACCAACCACTATCAGTTGTAGAAAACAAAAGATTTCTCAGCTTGATACTTGCAGTCAAGATATAGTTTTCATTCCAGGAGATATTTATCAGTACAACAGTAGACAATCATAAAAAAAACATATGATTTGAAAATTATATTAAAAACAAAAGACAGCTACATTATAAAGTGATGTAAAATACTAAAAACAGGAACATGTCTGTTGGTTTATGCCATGAACTTAGCAGATGTTTGAAGCCATTTAACATTTTATTTTATTTAATTCATTTATTCATTAATTTAAAAGAAACAAAATTTAAAAAAAAAATCATCAAAAAGAAAACATTGAATGAAAAGAGTGCAGAAAGAAAAAAAATAATTTTTATATCTGCCCTTATTTAAAAAAATATATAAAATAACTTTAAACAATCACTTAAATTAATCACTTTAATATCCACTTTAAAACTAGAAATAAAAAGAAACATGTTTTGTGTTAGCAGAATTTAATTCCAACTTTAAAACGTATCCAACATTAATACAACTTACCTCAAGTTGCCTTTTTGGACATGCATGCATATATTTGTACAAACTGTACTTGAGAGGAGATTATTACAGACTCGTATAAAATCAATGATGATGATTATATCGGAACTTGATCGGTATTGGGCGTTATTTAGATGTCGGGATCGGATCAGAAGTAAAAAAAAAGTGGATCGGTGCATCCCTAGTTTTGACATCGGCTGATGTTTACATTTGAGCATGTTGTTGATTTTAAACAACATGTTTTCCCCTTCAAAACAACAAACTAAACCAAAACCACAACAAGTAAAACCAACACATAGTTGACTTAGCTGAAGATGGAACTGTATTTGTTTGTTTGTTTATTTGTTTTAGAGTTCTCTCATTATTAAACCGTCTTGATTAAGATTAATTTATTGACATTCTAATTTAGTATGGAGCTCTGTGAGGGACCAGACTCCAATGAGGACAAAAAAGTGTTCAAAGTAG